CTGGCCTCCAGAGGCCTCCGGAGGCCTTCGGAAACCGTGTCCTGCCCAGCCCTCCTGCGTCGTTGAGCCCTTGCTGTCTCCCTGTGGCGCAGCGCGCGCGCCCCACCCCCATCTCCCCTCCTCCCCCCCGCCCCTCCCTCCGTTCAACAATAAACAAACCTCCCTTTAGCAAACCTCCCCTTCGTGAAAACGGCCTGGGACCGAAACCGACGGACCTGGACCCGCGAAAACGACGGCCGCGACGCCCTCTCGCGAACCGAAAACGGCCAATTCTTCAATCGACGTGTCAGGGTAGGAGGTCTGTACTGTACTGTACTGTACTCAATGGAAGCGGCCGTCGAGAGCCAGCCGCCCCAAACACAAACTCACTCACCCCGTAACGTGTGACTGCGGAGCGGGCATCACCAGGCCAAACCGTGAGAGAAGCTGGGCAGGGCTCCACCTTTCCTCCCACAGGCCTGGAACAGCAGCGGCCTGATCGTTGTCATCAGCACGCCTGACCTGGATCCCTCTGTGAGCGGCCCTGAGGAGGACCCTCCGATCCGCCCCTCCCCCTCGGGACAGACGCCCAGCGCACCTCCGCCGTCCCAGCGGGCGATGCGGCTCCGGCGGGGCCGCCCGCCGACCCCGCGCCACGACGGCCAGGGTGGCCGCACGGCCCCGCAACGAGGCGAGGCCACGCGCCAGGGAGGGCAGCGAGGCAGCCCGACGCGCCGGGTTGCTGTCGAAGCCGCTGCAGCACCCAGGGGCGTACGCAGCAGCATGAAGCCGGGCCTGTCCCCCTACGGGGGGATTTTCGACGAAAAATGAAAAATACCTCCAACATACTCTAGAAAGGTTAAAAAAAAACAACAGAAATAGTCCACATACTATTTTTGGACTTTTTTATACTATTTTTGGTGTATTTTTATCTTTCGTCGAAAATCCCCCTGTAGGGGGACACGCCCGACTTAACAGTAGCACCCCATTGAGGCAGTGGCATCAGAAGATTCGATGCAATGTTTTCGGGTCGTTCCCTGGCGCACGGAAGCCCCAGGAAGGTGGCCGATTCGAGGCCTCCGTCTTTTTGCTCTGTGCTTCGGCTAGGGGTCGAACTGTACTGTGGCGACATCTAACGAGCACGACTCTGCTGTAACAAATCGTGGGCAAAGAGCACTCGCCAAAGACTGTTGCGTTCCCACGCTTGTATGACGGGTGCTGCCCTGCACGGACCCATACTATCATGACTTTCTGTGGCCACTAGCAAGGTCGAGCACGGGCCGATCAGTCCTAGTCCGCCCGCTGAAAGGCCCCCCCCAATGGGCGATCCGCTCGAATCACCTTCCAGTGCATTATAGGGAGCGGCCAGTGGGAATCCCATTCGAGTAGCCCGACGGGTTGGTCTCGGCATGTTTTGGTCAACTCGGGGAACTACTGACCCAGGTCAATCCAGACCCGGGTCGATCGGGCCTTGCAGGATCCTGCGAAATCCTGCGGGACCCTGCGCCCATGTCGCGAACCGAAGACGGCCGATTCCTTAATCGACGCGTCAGAGTAGGAGGCCCGCGGCGTGCCACGCCTCCCCGGGCCGCGGTGCCGGGGGGCGCAGCCACGTCCGGCGGGTGGGCGGCTGGGCGGGGCAGCGAGGGAGACAGGGAGGCAGAGAGAGGGGGAGAGGCAGGGGCAGAGAGAGGGAGAGGCAGGGGCAGAGAGGGGAGGAGAACAAATGCAGTCCACCCGTGTCAGAGGGACGCACGGCAAGAATACAGGGGCCTTGGAGGGCCATCTCGAAGCTTCTCGAGCGGGCGCGGCCAACAAAAGTGGCCAAGGGTGGAACGCGGAGGCAGGGAATGCAGGGGCGCCCTTGGGCAGGCTGCCCATCCTTACCATGCGGGTCGACTGTAGAGAGCGAGAGAGCGAGAGAAGCAGAGAACAGCACGCGCACGAGCCGCGCTGCGGCGACGAGGTGGCGGCGGGGTGCCCGCGGCCCGCCCGGGGGGGGCCCGCAGGGACCAGTCCAAAAATACCCCCAAATGGTCCAGTAATACTCAAAAAATCGTCCCCTGACTAACTCTTGACTATTTGGGAATATTCCTCCTGTAGAGGGACAGGCCCGACTTAACACTACACAGTCAGCACGAGAACCCCCCCTCCCCTCCCCCCGGGAGAGAGCCCGACGTTCCCTCCGCGCCGACGCCGCCGAGGCATCGGCGGTGCGGCACGAGCCTCCGACCCCGTCCACGCGGACCCCGCCTGGGAGGCCAGCACATCGGTGCGCCGCTGCGGAGGCAACCGCCCGACGGGCCGCCCGACTGCGGCTCGGTGCCCCGCGCCCCGGCGTGCCTGCGAGGGCAAGGGCCGCGCCCTGCGCCGCAGGCGGCCGCGTGTGGGGAAGCCAAGAGGCACCGATGCCGCTGTCGGTGGTTCAAAGATGAGGTCCTGAGGGATGGGGCCCTGAGGATAGGAAGGGATCCAAGGGTGGATCTGCATTATTTGAGGCACCTCGTGCTTAGGACCCCATCCTTCGGGACCCCATCTTTGAGCCCCCAGCGCTGCTCCCCGGGCCTATCCCGCGCGCGCTCACCAGACGTCCGAGGCGAACCAGGCGGTGGCGGCGAGGGCCTCCCATCCCAGGAGGCCTCCAAGAAGGCGGAAACGAGGCAAGGGGTAGTGGTATCGATGTCTCTTCCTCCCCTGAGCACAGGGTTGGACCCCTCGCCAAAATAATGATCGTTCGTGGCGCTGGACGCCTGGATCCGCTCGCGTCCGCGATGACACCGACGCCGACAGTGAAACCTGCTGGCGAGAGGAGCCTCCGCGGCGGTCGCCGGCGGCGGCAGCGACGGCGGCGTCGCGGCGGACGACGCCCTCGACGAGCCTGCCGACGACGGCGAGCTCGACGACGGCGACGAGCTCGGCGCGACGCCGGCGTGGACGGGCGGCGGCGACGAGCGGCGCGCCGCGACAGCGGACGGGCCTCGGCGGCGGGCGGCTCGCCGAAGCCGCCGCGGGCGGGGGGGCCGCCTGGCAAGTGCCGCCGTCCGGCGCCGGGCGCCGTCGGCGCCGCCCGCGGGCCCCCCCGGTCCGGAGGGACAAAACACGGCATAACCATGGTGTCCCCGAGCTCCGCGCGGATTTCTCGCAGCGGCGCTGGACCCCCCTCCGCTGGCGCGCGGAGCGCGCTGTGGGGCGGCGTCGGAGGCGCCGCCAGGGGGCCCCAGCGCCCATCCGAGGAGTCCCGCGCGGCGCTCCGGCGGCTTCTCTGTGCCACGGATTCTGCTTCGAGCGTCCCCCTCTTCGGGGAGGGTGGCTCGAAGGACCGGCGTCGTGGTGCCATTGGGGGACGCTGCGGAAGCAACGGAAGGGGGCCTGCTGACCACGGCGTGCCTGGGGCACGGCCAAGCTCCCCGACCTGGACCCCTCCTCCTCCTCCTCCTCCTCCTCCTCCTCCTCCTCCTCCTCCTCCTCAAGGAACGGCCCGATTGAATCCTGGAGGCGACTTGTCTGTTTTCGCGCTCGGCCACATACCGTCCAGGCAACATCAGTTTAACTATGTAATGGCCTTCCCCGTGCGCCAGCTGAAGGGCAGACTTGGATGCCAGATGTGTCGTCGGTAGCCCTTCCTGGGCTCAGACTGTGATCCTCGCCGCGCATGCGTTGCGCAGAACGTGTGCCTGAATAAATCGCGAACCTTTCTGGGCTCAGATTGCCACTCTAACGCGAAAAGTCCGTACCGTCATGATCGCTGCCACGATTGCCAGCTCATTGAGCCAACATCGCTGTGAGGAATACAAAAGCCTTCGTTCCCGCAGCAACGACCGTCGGCTCATTGAGCCCACGTCGCTGTGGAAGCCAAATCCTCTTACCAACGACGACATCATGCTCCATACGTACATATTGCAATGCCCTCCGAACGACTGCTCGAACTTTAGAATACGTGTAGCTGGTTATGTATGTATGCATGCATGCTTGCATGCATGTATGCATGCATGCATGCATGTCTAGCTGCATGCATGTACGTACGCATGCATACATGTACGTATACACATATACGCGTGCGCATGTATGTAAGTGTGTGTATATATGTGTATGCATGCATGCCTGCATGTATGTATGCACGCATGCATGTAGACATGTATGTATGTGTGTCTGTGTGTATGTACCTATATGTGTGGATGTGTGTACAGTTGCTTGATTGTGTATACGCAGATGTGTACGAAAGTATGACTATGTATGCTTGTATGTGTATAGATGTATATATAGATGTATGTACGTATATATATAGGTATGTATACATGTATATGTATATGTATGAATATGCATGTACGAATGTATGTACGTGTATATATATATGTATGTATGCATACATGCATGCATGCATGTAGGCATGCATGTATGTATGCACGCATGTATGCGTATATGTATGTACGTACGTACGTACGTATGTATGTATGTATGTATGTATGTGTGTATGTATGTATGTACGTACGTACGTACGTACGTATGTATGTATGTATGTATGCATGTATGTATGTATGTATGTATGTATGGATGGGGGCGTGGGAGAGGACGCCAAGGACCCAGAGTACGAGGACGAGGATCCAGAGGAGGAGGGCGAGAATCCTGACGAGGACGAAGATCCAGAGGAGGAGGGAGGGAATCCAGAGGACGAGGGCGGGGACCCGGGGAACAAGGGCAAGGATCCAGAGGAGGAGGACGGGAATCCAGAGGACGAGGGCGGAGACCCGGAGGACAAGGGCGGGGATCCAGAGGTAGGGGGCGGGGATCCGGACGACCGGGGCGTGCATCCAGAGGGCGAGCACGGGGATCCGGAGGGCGAGGACGAAGCATTCAGCGTTACGGCGAAAACCTGCCCGAAACAACATCGCCGCCCCTGGCAGCGACTCCATCATCCTCATCTGCATTGGAAGCCGTTATCACCCGAGTGCGACCCCAGGCTGACCCGCTCCACAGTCCGCCCGTGCAGGAGCGACTAGATGTCGATGTTCACAGCCCAGCCCATGCCGAACAAGCGGGCCGCCGAGGGCGCGGGCGCGGGCGAGGACGTGGAGGGCGACGAGGCGCTCGGCAACCAGAAGCAGCTGCCGAGGGCAATGGCGAGGCTGCTCCTTCAACACGAAGGGCATCGTCGTGCCCATGCGAGGGACGACAATATAGTGATGGAGATCGCCGAGGACTCCAGCCTCCAGACGCTGCTGGACAAGGCGGAGGAGTGTTACGACGAGATGGGCAAATCTGCCCGCAAGGCTCCGGACTTCCAGGGCCATCCGGAGGGCAAGCGGCCGGACGCGATGATGCGCAGCATTCTGCAGCGCCTCGCCCGGGTCGTGCAGGAGGGGCAGGCCGTGCTCGGGCCCACCATCGCTCAGCTCCCAGATCCGGGGGAGCAGGAGGTGACATGGGGCGCTTGCCCTTCTCCAGGAGTGGGGAGCCAAGGCAGCATCACCCGCTGGGCGCGAGCTTCGCGCGACCCGGTGCTTCCACCTCCCACCGAACTCTGAAGACAAGGTGCGCTGGATCTTCGCGCTGAAGGCCGAGCCGAAAGTTGAGGCGATGTTTCAACTGTTTCGTGCCACCCAGTGTCTGAAGCCTCTCGACATCTCGTTTCAATTCGATCATGCGCTGGAGAGCAAAGCGGCCAAGAAAGTGAAAGAGCTGGCCTTCGGTGGTGGTAAGAAGGAGGGCCGGGGGCCGAAGAAGGCCAAGAAGAGGTGATGCCAGATCCTGCACGGGTGAGGAGTGATTGTTTTTCAACTTTGTGAGTTTTCAGCTTTCTGGATTTTCCGGTCTGCAGTGGGCTGTAGCGGATTTTCTGGTTGAGTCTCTCAGGGTGCGTGGGCAAGCGAGTAGGGGAACCGCTTGCCACTACAGAGGTAGCTGGCGAGTGCAGGTGCAGCACAGGTCACAGAGGGTGGCCTCCGCTGCTCACTGGAGTGGCCAAGTCAGTGAGCATGTGCACGCAGACCGAGGCGTGGGCGCAGATAGGGGCCAGTGGGCTCGTGCGGGTGGCAAAATGTATGTACGTATGTCTGTCTGTCTGTCTGTCTGTCTGTCTGTCTGTCTGTCTGTCTGTCTGTCTGTCTGTCTGTCTGTCTGTATGTCTGTATGTATGTATGTATGTATGTGTGTGTGCGTGGGTATGCATGCCTGTCTGCCTGCCTGTGACTATGTATGCACACACACACATCTATATATATATATATATATATATATATATATACATATGTGTGTGTATGCACACACGCACGCTAGAACCATCCGCGCTTCGGTTCTAGCGCGCCACAGGCCTCGACAACAACTCAACTGCACATGCGCACGAACCTGCCACCGTGCCCCCCGGCATGTTGAGGAGTGCTAGAATACCAGGTGCTGCCTGGCAAGGCATCTGTAGTTTTCAAAGCCCCCTCCCCCCTCTCTCGACGCACCCAGCCGCGTGCATCGCCTCCCCTTCCCGAGGTTACAATTCCTCACAACGCATAACCACAGGGTCGCGCTCCCAGTGCCCTCATGCTTCAAAGACGGCCCAGCATCGTGCAAATGCGGGCCACTTTGGCCTCAAAGCGGCCCATGATGACGTCAAGACGGCCCACGAGGCCTTCGGGGCCCACGAGGCGCCCCAAGAGCCTTCCTGAGAGGGTCTCGATGGGCAAAACTTAATGAGTTTCCTGAAGCGTTTCAATGTTGTTCGGGTTCTCGCCTTTTCGAGCTTCCGACGTCGCAAGACGGCCCAAGAGGCCCCAAAGACTCCCCCGAGGCGGCTCAGCGAGCCACCAAGAGAGCTGCAAAACAGCCCATGAAGGCTCCAAGACGGCCCGAAAGATGCCCAAGAGGGCCCCACGACGGCCCCCCAAAATGGGCTCAAGAGTGGGAACACGAACCGAGCATTCGAGTCCTCTGCCCCGAGAGGCCCCCAGCAGGCCGCCTCGTGCCCTGTCGGGTAGGTGCCACCCAAGATGCTGCGCTGGCACGGTGGCGGAACTGGTGGAGGCAGCTTGACCAAAGGCAGCTTGACCAAAGGTGTGGGCTGAACAGAAGACGACAAGGACACCCGCAGAGGGCCACGGAGGGAAGCCTCACCACAGACCCCTGCTTCTTGACTCCTTTTCTTCCTCCTCCTCCTAACCCTCCTCCATCTCCTGCTCCTGCTCCTGCTCCTGCTCCTGCTCCTCCTCCTCCTCCTCCTCCTCCTCCTCCTCCTCCTCCTCCTCTTGTTCATCATCTTCCCTCCTCGCTCCTCCCGCCTCTCCATCCCTCACTCTCGCGGCCTCACTCCTGGCCCATCCCCAAGGCGGGAGGAGGCCAGCCCAAGGCCTCGAAGATCAAGGCCAGGGAACACACCAAAGACGTGCGCGCCCAACCACGCACATGAGCACGGCCACCCAGTCCGCGGAACCGCGGGATACGAACGTTCGCGCAAAACGTCCTCTCGGAACCAGCGCGGATTCATGTACGCGCACGTCCTCTTCCGTCGCTCCTGAAAGGCGAGCGGTGTGCAAGTCTGGTGCGTGTCCTTCACCATCGAGTTGGTGTACTTTTTATATTCTCAATGTTCTATGTTCTTTGCTCTAGGCTTACACTTTATCGAGTTTGTGTGTTGAAATGATGTATCCATTTTCTTTCGTTCGGAGGCTTCGGGGGGCGCCGATCCTGGCTGGGCCCATCCTGGGCCAAGCATTGGGGTACGTGTCCTCCTGGCCTGGCCTGGCCAAAGAGGCGTATGCCAGGGCTGAACCTAAACGGTGTTTTTCGTTTTCGTCTTGTTTTCGTTTTCCCTCGCTTTTGTCTCGAGTCCGCATTTGCCGCAAAAAGAAGTCGAAACGAAAACGGCCCACGAAGTCACCAAAAACACCGTTTAGGTCCAGCCCTGGTGTATGCACCAGCCCTGGGTCTGAGATGGGCCTGGCCAGGAACGGTGTGCGTGCACAGGTGGCGCCCGCCCAACAGGGGCGGTTGGTACACACCAGTGCCTACCAATCCCAATGCGCAGGTGGTTTAAAGCATTTTCCCCCTTGGGGAGGGGTTCACCCTTCCCCCGCCCCCTTCCCTGGGTATGTACGCCCCCCCGACTCCCCCCGCGAGGTGTCAGAGGGTCCCTCTTGGCCCAAGATGGCCTCAGATGGCCCAAGATGGCCTGCAAGGTCGTCAACGATTGCTTCCAGGATGCCTCCAAGGGGCCCCCTAAACCGCCCAAAAACGACTCCAATTAGACATGGAGCCTCCCGTTGACGTTCTCAGATGTGTGTTACTTTCGCGCATGCTCGCTTCCGACAGGCTTATCAGACCTCGCGATGGATTCAATAGCGCCCAAGAGAGTCCCAAGCGGGGCCCGTAAAGGCTCCAAGAAGGCGCAAAGAGAGACGCATTCCGAGAGACGATGTTTCGCAGACTCGAGAGAGGCGACGCTAATCCGCGCCGCAACTGTTAGCTAAGCAACACCTTTTCCACGACATGCGCTTGGTGAGTCATGTTGACCTCTCGGGGGCAACCTTGGGAAACTTGTGGGCCAAGACGGCTCAACTATGGCCCCAGAAGCCTTCAGACATCCCAAGGGGCCTCTGAGACCTCAAGATGGCTCTAACTCTAGACTCTAAGGATCGGCCAGGCGAGCCTCAAGATGGACCCACTGCCGAAGAAGGCCTGACGAGGGCTCCAAGAGGCATTTCTCGAGCTCCAGAGGTGCAGCCCCACATAGGACCCCCTTCCTCATTTCCTTTTTACCGATGTCCCCCGAGATGGTCCCCGAGGCCCCAAAGAGAACCCCAAGAGAGACCCAACAGCTTCCACAATGGCCCCAAGAGTGGTTCAATATGGCCCCAAGAAGCCACCAAGAGGCTCCCGGATCCAACGAGTCGCAAATGCCTTGATGGTTGACGTCTGGGTCTGGCTCCCTTTTTTTGTGCTCCACTGAGTGCTTCTACAACTCCCTGATCAATGCAGCAGCTCGCCAAAGCATCGTTTCTGGATGGATTCGCTCTCCTGCTCAGACCCAAAGTTGCGCCTACATTCGCGCCCCTGCGTGTGATTCAGGTTGCGCACTCTGGACATTTCACCCTGATTGTCCGCGATCTGGGCCGCTTGACAACCAGCTTTCACCACTGATTACCTTCTGCGCCTGCTCGACACCTGCGTACAAGTGTGCGCTGCTCTCCTGCGCGACCATGCCGCGTTGGGTCTCTCAAGCGCGGACCGGGGGCAAGACGAGCCTGCTTTTATACCGCGCGTCGGGCGTCGTTGTCGAAGCCCGAGTCGATTGGCGGCGAGCCAAGGGGGTGGCCCGAGGTGGATGACCTTCTAAGAAGGCGGCAAGCTTCTTGCCTCTCAGGACTCAATTAACCGGAGGCTTCTGAGAAGGCTCTTTGGAAGGCTGGAGGACTCTAAAATACAGTCGGACCTAGGCCAGAAAAACATCCCTCAAGAAAATGAGACCCTCAATCGGCCAACACAAACTGAACATCCGAGGACACCCTGCCCAGGATGCACAAGAGCATTCCAATCAACACGAAGAACACTAGGGTACCGTACCCGAACCGACCTCGATCTTATACCTCGGCCCGACTTTCGAGATCGGATGCTTCTGTGAAGGCTCCTTGAAGGCCGGAGGGCTATCCTATAATGGGTCCCTTGCCTCCTTGGAAGGCCCCCCCCGCGCTGCCCCGTTGCGCGCGCCGCCCACGAAGCGAGTGCAATCGAAACGGCTGCCCGGAGAGCAGCAAACTTGCGACGAAGCCAGGACGAAGATAAATTCGGGTGAGGAGAAATCGGAAATCTCTGAGATCTGGCGGTTCTGGAGGATGTCTCGGGCGCCGCGGCCTCCTCAGAGCATTCCTGAACGCTCTGAGAGCGTTACGGAACGCTCTGGAACGGATTCATCCTCGTCCTAGCCCCGTCCGAAAACTCTGTCCCGAGAGTGCACCGCCCTGAGAGTTCTTCCCAGTGGCAGCGAAACAAAATGGTAGCAACGGGGGAGCGGCGGCGACGGGAAGAGTGCAACGTCCGATGGAGAGAAACCGATCTACCCTGTCTGCCTTACCTGTTCCAAGTGGCTTCGCGGAGCCCCTCGGCTTGGACCCCTGTGGCTTCCCGCTCAACTGATTCCGTCTGTCGTTGTGTTCCCAACATCCAACATGGGTTTCTGTTGTCTCTGGACACCCCGCGCAGGAGCACCTCTGCTTCCTCCTCCTTCTCCTCCTCATCCACTCCACTTCGCGTCTCGCGATATGATCATCCTCATCGTCATCGTCATTGTCATCATCATCATCATCACCACCATCATCACCACCATCATCATCACAACCACCACCACCACCATCATCACCATCACCATCACCATCACCATCACCATCACCATCACCATCACCATCACCATCACCATCACCATCACCATCACCATCATCACCACCACCACCACCATCATCATCATCATCATCATCATCATCATCATCATCATCATCATCATCATCATCATCATCATCATCATCATCATCATCATCATCATCATCGTCATCGTCATCGTCATCGTCATCATCATCATCATCATCATCGTCGTCATCGTTGTCGTCAGCATCAGCATCATCATCATCATCACCACCATCACCTTCACCACCACAATTATCATCAACGTCGTCATCATCAGTATCATCCTCATCACTACCATCATCACCACCATCACACTCATCCTCATGATCCTCTGTATGATCCTCATCCTCATCATATTG